ATTAGTTATAAAATTCCTATTTTAGGATAAAGAAAAGCATAATGTACTTTTGATATTCTGACTTTAAACAAGTGACTAGGTTACTTTTAGTGCATTTTCTAAATTAGAACATTTTGGTTTTCACTGTGCGATTTTGTTGCTTCAAAAAAGTCTTTCTCACAATCATTATAATTACGATCTTTGATCTTCTGTTAAATTTTAACTTTGCCACTAAACACCTCTTAATCCTAACATATTTATGTAGTTAATAAACTTGAAATAAAAGACAGTTAAATACTTGATTTCATCTTAATATTAGATTTTATTATACCGAAATATATATATATATATATATATATATATAAAATTCCAAACTTATAAAATGCATTGCTATATATAATATTTGAATTACTTTTTGATAAGTTTGTTTATGAGTAAATCATGTTAAACCTAGAAAATTGATGATGTACACAATCTGATCCTACATATTTGGATGGGATTTAATTCATGTAACATATACTATTATTGTTTTATTTGAATATTGAATTTTATTTCATTGTTATTTAGACATATAACCTAATTTTTAAATATTTAATATGAAGAATTTGGTTTTCTTTTTAAAAAAATGTTGAAATTCGAAAAACAAAAATATCATTCTTATAAAAAAAATATTTTCTTATATAAAATAAGAGTATAATTGTATATTTTGATTTTCTCCTAAACTTCCAACAAATTTATTGCCTATATAAAAATCATAAGGATTGCTCCTCCAAAAAAAAAAACCTCTTTATTACTCAAAATCTTTTTTCAACCTCTTTATGTCTCATTCTTAGATTTAAATTTATTTATCTTTTGAAAAGTTTTTTTTTTTTTGTAATTTGTGTATCTTTTACTTATTTTTTTTCTTCATTTATTTGCACAATCTTGTCTTTTTATTTAAATGTTTTTTCATTCATTTATTTCATGTATGCATGTGATCATTAATTCTTGTGGAATTACTATTTTTGATAATAATTATGTTTATATATATGAAGTTTAGCCGAATGCCTAATTGAGTATCTCACCACTTATACCCTTATTTGTAAAATAGGTTGACATTTATCCAATTCAAGACTTATATTTGATACAAAATCTAGTTATTAATGATTATAATTGAGCACCAAAATATGATATCCAAGACAGGTATATTTTCATAAAATTATGAGATTCTCAAGATCCATAAAGACATAACAATTAGTTATAAGATCTTCATTATAAGGTAAAGTATGACATAATATATTTTTGAATGTTCTGACTTGAACAAACAATTAAGTTACTTCTAGTGCATTTTGCAGATCATAATAAAAAAAGAACAAAATAATTGTTTATATATAGGGTAGTGACAAATTGAGAAGAATCAAATAAGGAACTGGTTAGGGTGGATCGCTACTTGATATTTCCTCAGAGGCCATGGCCAAATTAAGTAACTAGAGATGAATGATGGCTACAAGGAGATGGAAGCATCCTTGATTTTTAGTTGAGAGACATTATCGTTCATTTTTGTATCCTCTTGATAGATAACCGACCAAATGACTTACACTCTTAAATCTCTTCGTGTCTTAGTGCTTGAAGCTGAGGGGTTAATTATATGCCCTTTCCAAATGTAACTAACCAACCGATTCCCTGATTCACTCGGTCGAGTTAATTGGTGGATGATTGTTTTAAACTATGACAAGGTTTGAGTAGATAAACTAGCGTTGTGATTTAGGGGATCATTCCTATTAGTAATAATGGTTTTGTAGTTTGCAAGACAGTTGTTGGGAGATCTAATATGCACATACAAGATTACTTATACGTATATAAAGAGATTTTTAAGTTAGAACAAACGAGTTACATTCTTAAATATTTTAAACTTGAATAATTGTTAATATTCTTTAGTTGTAATCTTTTGTATTGAAATAAATTCTTTTATTTAATTTAACTGAATCTAATTACAAATTTAGTTTTTTTTAAACATAGTTTGAAATAGAAAAAAAGGGAGAGTTGTTTTTACAAACTCTGTTTTTAAAATAAAGTTAATTCAAACTTAAATTTACCAACATAATTTAATCTAAACACGCATTGATTGAGTCAACTCAATCATATCGGAGTCCTTTAATGTTTCCTAAATCAAGTTCAAATCTATACAGAACCAAAAAACTGAAAGAGTAGTAATAATAGTGAAGTCTGAACTCTAAAATAGTAACCCAATCGAATAAAGTCAATGGTGTAACCTAAAATACTAGCTAGTAATATTTAGGCTGTGCATGCATGCCTATGATACAGGTTCATACTTCATAGAAAATGAGAGATTTTTTTCCCTCACCTGTTTCCGTACTGAGATAAGAAAACCCTTCTTCCTTAGGGAAACAGTGCGAAAGGAGAGGAAAGGACAGAGTAATCCCTTATGGCCTTATCCGTATGTATCTCCCAATAATTGAAACAAACACATGTCATGCATTGCAGCCAAAAAGTAGTGGGTGTCAACTTTTGTAATACTGCGCTGTGCTGTGCCTCATCACTGCTTAATTGTACACTTGTACTCTACACCCCTTTTTTATTATTTTTATTTTTCCATTTTTTTGAACCTATCCGATTTAATCACCCTTTACTCAACTTTGAATTAATATACTGTAGAAAAAGAAAAACTCTTTCTCACCTCTTCCTACTTTGCTTCCTCTGCCCTCTGTTTATTCCTTTTGCTTACGCCAAAGAAACATATTCCCTCTTAAAGCCATCGCCACTACTATTAGTGACGCATACATGGAGCTTCAGATGTGATGTTGTTAAAGAGAAACTTCAATTCAAAGTCAAGCATCCCTTTTATACATTAACTAACTACGTACCCTTTTATACATTATCATGAATATGACTATTATATAAAAAATCAACAAACTTACTATATTATGTATTATGTTTTCAATTAATAAAAAAGTAAAAGATACATTGAGGTTAGTCATGTGTATGTTATAATATATGCAGAAACTTGAATGGGCAGCAACTCAAACGTACAACTTCATTTATCAGTTGAAAACCCATTTTATTATTGTGTTTATCTTGTAAACATGTACTACTCTGCAATATTTGTATGTTTTTAAAGAAAATCTCATTTTATGTTTTTGATTTTCAGTATTTCTGAACCCGATATGCGTCTAGAACAGTGAGTAGACCTTGTGCGGAATGTGTGATTCCAAATATTGGAACATGGGGACATTGATGCTTTGGTATGGTTGGTTTATGAGAGCCAATGTTGTCGATGGATCATATCAATGCTATCTAATTAAGCGTGTCAACATCAGAGCCATTTCCAGTTCTCAAAGCCACCTTTTGTTTTTATTTTGCTGTATTTTTGTTTTAATATATGGGCCAACACATGCTACCTTGGCTAGCTCATCTCATCAATTGTTGCACATGCATGATTTTGCCCAGTCTCTCCAATATCAGTCACACATAAAAGATAGCAAGTCTTGCCACTCTCTTTTTTTCCATTCTGGTTATTTGTTCTCAATTTGGAAGGTAACTCATCCCTAATTCGTGTAAATAATTAGAACTGTAAGAGACTAGCATTTTTTAAAATAATGCGCCACATGCCCAGCTTAATTATGCATTTCAATTTAATGTATTTTGATGCACTATTGCACTTTAATACATTAAATTCAGTTTAATATTTCTCCCTAACAATATATTTTTATGTTTTTTTCCACTGCGTAACAAGGATCATTTTTTCATCGAATAATTCCTAAAGAAACAAAAAGAAAACTATTCTAACATTTTTCTTGTGAAAATCTTAAAATGGGTAAAATCATAAATGAACAACATTATCAAGTAATCGCAAAGTTATATTTATACATATATATATATATATAAAGTACGATAATATTATTAGAGTGATTAGGATATCTCACTTAATTTGCACAAATATACAATTTCTTTTAAATAAAAAGATACAATGCACCAAACTACCTAGTTAAAATAACCTCTTTTAAAGGAAAAGAATAATAAAGATAGAAGGTATTACAACAAAATTAATTCATTAATTTAGATCAAGAAATTATGTTATAACAATAAATTAAAAAGTTTCAACAACAGTTTCCCACCAATGTGTTCCATTTAAAATGATCATTTTATTTTTGTTGACTATGGTATCTTTTGGTTCAAAGTTAGAGATTAATCTCCCAAAATACAAAAATCTATTTAAAAAGTTGATCTATATATCCTAACAAATATTTTTTCACAAAATCATTAAGACAAACTTAGAGATTCAAAGTTAAGAAAGACTTATGAAAAGAGATTTTTTTTTACAAAAAGTCTCATGATTTATATAATATTATAAGTTCATCTCCTTTTTAATTTTGTTTTTAAAATACCCTAAATCTTTCTTTTATTCTCTAAATTTTAAATTTTTTACATTTTCAACTTTTAATTTAGCATTTTCTTCTTCTTTTTTACACATTCTCTTTCCTCTTCCTTTCACAAACTAAAAGAGATCCAGACAGAATTTTACGAGGAAGCATGAATATATGGGACGAAATAACCTCACGAGCAGATTAGTTATTTAATTTTGTTTGCTGTTTCATCACCCCTTTTTTCTTTTATTTTTATTTATTATTTTGTTTTTTATTCGATCACAACAAAAATAAATTGATAAATAATGTCATTACCATACTTGGATATTGCAAGATCTTTTTTATATTTCGGTAAATATGGGGGGCACAGGCTGGGAAGACTGAAGAGACTTCAATGGTATCACGTGCGTTGTGTTGACTCCACCCCTTGTGCTTCGTTTTTATTAGCATATTCACAAGCCAAAATCACTTTTATTTTATGAATGTGAAATTGATTGATTTCACCCCTGTGCTTCACTTTTAATAAGATATTCCCGAGTCCAAAGCACCGTTGTCGTAATGAACCACTGGCTCGGTATAGTGATGTTATATACATTTCTGTGTGAATTATTGAATGTGTATCATCCCCATAATATAAAATATTAAAATGTAGCATAGTTCTAAAGCAGAGAATTTATATGCCAATCTTATTACCAATCTTGTAAGAAAGACAAAAGGAGAAGTTACAATTACAATTACAATTTACCAATCCTATTGAGAACACAAAATAGAAGTCCTATATAAGGTAGAAAGATAGAGAAGAAGAGAGAACAATGCATTTCCTTAATCTCCTATCCAAAATGGAACCAATCCTATTGTTTTATTGGAGTGTGATAGATGAATCAATCTAACACGTCTTGTCTTCAATCCTTGTGTATCAACAGTTTGGTTTTGAATAGATGGCTCATTAGAACCAAACACTAATTAATATTTACGTGGCATACAGTTGAGTAAGAGGCACATAGATATTCCCCACCTTGGCCTAAACTTCAGGACTTGATAATCCCAAGTGCTTGAGGTTGAAGTGACACGGAGTGTCTAACATCACCAATATGAAGACTGTGTTCCCCCAACGGGATTCTCCTGATCCCAGACTTATCCACTACACTTAAAAGCTTGCACACGTGAATATTCACTCCAACTCTCTGTTGACCCTTGGCACGAACATGAACCTTCTCAAACGCCACAAGTTGCTTCTCTAGTGCCCAATGAGCACCAGCACCTGCAGGTGGAGCAGAGAACACTAGCAACGTGTGTGTGCCATCTCTGGACCCCACATTTTTTACGTCCACCTGGAGCGTGATCGAGAGCTTCCCACACCGTGCATGGGACACTCTTATTGCCCTGTTTGACAAATTCGTCGCATTGGCACGCCGGTGACCATTCAATGGAACCGACACCACTGTGGGAGCACTTGCTAATGTATGAACAAAGTGTGTGTATGTTAATCCGTGCCCAAATGGGTACACCATTGGGCCATTGTAGAATCTATACGTTCTTCCTGGGTACCCTGCTGATTTACTTGCTCGCATTGCCATCTTTGTCATTGGCAACTTTGTTAGATATTCTTGCGGGTACCATGTCACAGGCAGCTTCCCCCCTATACTAAAATTGAAACATATTAATTTCAGACATTTTATATTTTATTATTTTATACTATGAGACATTTTACGAGAACAGACAAACCTGGGTTAGCTGTTCCAAACACTATATCTGCGATGGCAGCACCACCAGCTTGGCCCGGATAACCGGCCCACAGGATCCCCACAATTCGAGGGTTGTTCTTTGCAAAGCTGATGTCCAAAGGCCCACCGGACATTAAGACCAAAATGGTTGGTCCTTTTGAGGCAGCTGCCACTTTTGAAACAAGGTCTTGCTGACGCCCTGGCAAAAGCAACCCAGTCCTGTCCACGGTTTCAGCTTCAATGGACTGGTCCAAGCCCATTACCAAAACGGTTGCATCTGCTTGACGGGCTGCATTTATGGCAGGCCCAAATTGCCTGTCATTAGTACAAGCTACATTTTGGCAGCCCAACTGATGAATAGTCCGGGCGTATCTACCTATTCCTTGTAGGGGGCTGGTATATCCACATGCAATACCTATTAATCAGGTAATTAAACGATTAGAGCTTTCTTAATATCATGGGCATAGGTTTTTTCAAAAAGTTTAAGAAGAACATGGACTGATGGACTTAGTTAGTTAGTTACCACTTACCAGCATAGTTTCCAATCATTGTAACAGTGGCATTAGAATTGGGCCCAATAACAGCGACGGTATGGTGACGCTGAGGGGATAGAGGCAAAACAGGGCCAGTGTTCTTAAGAAGCACAATTCCTTGTCTTGCAGCTTCAAGAGCGAGGTCTTGATGGGCCGGTTTGCACACATCTTTTGGGCCCAAATGACCATATGGATGGGCCGATGGCTCTCCGTCAAACATCCCTAACCTCATTTGGACCGTGAGTGTGTTCACCAAAGCAGTGTTGACATCAGCTTCGCTTAGCAATCCCTTTTTGACCGCGTCCTGCGTGTGCACAGCTAGAAAAGGCCCACAGTCTAAATCCAAACCTGTGACATGGTCAAAAAAGAAAAACTAGTCATTAATTGTGGAAAAAGAGTCAAAAGTTAGAAGCTGAATTTCAGTTTTGATGTATTAGTGGTGAAGGAAATAATGAACCGATTAAGTAGTTTAGTGAGTGCTACTAGCCTGCTTTAATGGCATCTGCGGCAGCTTCTTCTGGCGTTGATGTGTAGTGTTGGTTATCATAGAACACACCAACGGAATCACAGTCTGATACAATATACCTAACCACAGAAAAGCAAAAAAGATTTAATTAATTTTTAGTTTTGACTATTGAACAGATGAAGGTGGTATCCGATGAGGAATTTGTTAGCTTACCCATCAAGTTGCCACAGTCCGCGAACAGTTTTCTTGAGGAGGTTGGGGTCGGCACAAGTAGGGACCCCATTCACTTGATTGTAAGAACACATGACACTCGCTACTTTCCCTTCGCTCACACACATTCTGAATGGCACGTCGAATGTATCCTCTATGTCCTGCTTACTCACCTGCACATTATCTTCCACAAAATTACTAATTACTAATTACTATTCAGATAACATCGTGTTATACTAATTCTTTAATGCAATGCCACAAGAATATTGACTCACGTCAATCCACTTATCATTTCTAAGTTTATTCAGATCCAGTATGGAAAAGAAAAACAATATTAACACACTTCTTATCATCTAACTCATACTTATTCCTTTTCCTTTAAAATTAATAAAACCATCCAAAGAAGCAAAATAGTAAGAAAAAAGACTAGAAAGAGGACCTTCATACATATCATCTTGGACTATATCACAAGTTCCAAGTTTAAGAAGTTTCTTCTAGCCGAGATATCATTTGACATATTTGTGAATGAATGATACTATTATCATTTCTAATTTTCCTGTAACATTAAAATTTAACTGCAAATGTTCATTAATTCACCGCCGGTAGTCACAGGTAGGGATGGCAAATATACCCGTACCCGTGGGTAATACTCGAACCCGTCCCGACTTTGACGGGGAATACCCGGTTTGACCGGGTACGGGTACGGGTAAAACCCGATATATTGAATCGGGTACGGGTACGGGTACGGGTATGTACTTACCCGCCCCGTACCCGTACCCGTCCCCGTTCTCATTTTTAATTTAATATTCACATTTAATTTAATTATATTAAAAAAATTTAATATTTTTTTACGTATGATTATTTATTATAATGCGAGATAAAAAAATAACCTAATTATAATTATAATATAATAAAAAAAA